CCAGCAGGGCCGGCCGCACATCAGGGCCACCCGCAGGAGCTGCGAGGGTGGGCCCGGGGCTGGGGGGAGCCGGGGCTCTGGCAGGAGACAGCTGCCCCCGCTACGGGGCTCCGGCGGGACCCACCCTGCCCAGACTGCGGGCGGCCTGGCAGGCAGGACCTTGCTCCCTGGCACCAGGTGTGCTCCGGCTCCAACAGCAGCTCGTCACCGTCCCAAGCGTGGCCTCAGGGTGTGGTCCTGGGCCAGTCTGTCCTGCACCGGTGAGGCCGGCGGCTCTCAGGCCACACCTCCCCGGGGTGGGGCTGGCTCAGGCGCCTCCAGCCACGCCGGCTGACCGTGTCGGGTGGAGACCCCCAGGCGGCACCAGAGCCAGGCACTGTTAGGTACAGGCCAGCCAAGGTGGCCACCTCCGCGGAGAGGACCAGCAGTGCCCCTCCAGGCGGGGGCCACGGTCCCGCGCAGGTGCGCCGAGGCCTTGCCGCCTACCTGGCAGACGCCGCTGATGCACATGTCCAGGGAGTCGGGGCGGCAGCGGGTCCCGTCCAGCACCTTGGGGGCCAGCTCCACCACCAGGCTGCGGCCGCGGGCGTGGCAGCGCAGCGCGCAGGGTCTGGCGGGGTCGTCGTTCCGCGGCAGCCACTCGTAGTAGCGGCCCTGGTACTGGACATCGTTGTAGGCCGAGCACTGCTGAGCCCGGAAGTCCTCGGCGGTGGGGGGGCAGTCCTGCGGGCGGGCCGCGCGGTCACCGCGGCCCTCGTTCCTTCCTTATAGACTCGAGGCTGTACCCGGCGGAGGCCCTGGAGCGCCCTGCGGCCACCCCTCCCCTGACCGCCCTCCAGCTGGCCTCGCTCTTTGTCGCCACCGCCTGCCCGTCTACCGCCGGACTTGGCTCCGCCTCTGCGCGTCGGGTGTGCAGTTCAAATGGCCACACAGCTGCCCGCGTCTTGAAACAGGGACCAACCGTCCTAACTCTTCGAGGACAGTCCAGCCTGGGGATCACGGCCTCACTGCCCAGCATGCAGGCCACCCTGGGAGGGCCTGGCCCCTCACGCTGGCCCCGCCCCTCCATGCTGACCCCGCCGCTTCATGTTGGCCCCGCCCCTTCGTGCCGGCCCCGCCCTCCACGGCGGCCCCGCCCCCGCACTGCCTCTGCCCCTCCACGCTGGCCCCGCCACTCCATGCTCACCCCGCCCGTTGGCCCCGCCCCTTCATGCTGGCCCCGCCCTCCACGGCGGCCCCG